TATTTATTTATTTATTTATTTATTTATTTATTTATTTATTTATTTATTTATTTATTTATTTATTTATTTATTTATTTATTTATTTATTTATTTATTTATTTATTTATTTATTTATTTATTTATTTATTTATTTATTTATTTATTTATTTATTTATTTATTTATTTATTTATTTATTTATTTATTTATTTATTTATTTATTTATTTATTTATTTATTTATTTATTTATTTATTTATTTATTTATTTATTTATTTATTTATTTATTTATTTATTTATTTATTTATTTATTTATTTATTTATTTATTTATTTATTTATTTATTTATTTATTTATTTATTTATTTATTTATTTATTTATTTATTTATTTATTTATTTATTTTTATTTTTTTTTATTTTTATTTTTTTTAATCATAATTATAATATTAGCTTTGTCGTTCGAATGTATTACCTACATCACTACAATAAGAAGAAGCTTTGTTGTTACCAACTGGAGTAAACTAAAGCACGGCTAGTTCTAAGTTAAGTTATTGAGATCCGGGTTAAAAAGTCATTTCATAAAATTTTTCTGTGAATTGAAAAATCAATATTGACTGATAAAAATATATGAGTAAAAAAATCGATATGCCGTTTAGTTTGAGTGTAGCTTTTATATCAGGCTAACCAGAAATTATACGTTGCAGGTAAGTTTTTGACTTGTTGTTTTAATGCTAGTGAGAAAACGGGCACTGAAAATTACACGTTTATATGGTAGCTTCATGTATGATATACGTATCTTCGAATTTTGACTTTTTATTCTTTGTGATACGTAACTTGTTTTAGGCGAGACAAAAATATAACTAAAGTTAAACATATTTGCTCTAAAGCCTAATAGGTAGATTGCGACATTAAATTTAAAAGACAAGTACTTGTCACTTGTTGAAGTCTGTGGTGGGCTCCCTGACGCCAATCACCAGTCATAAACACCTCGCCACCATCATGCTGCTGACAGAACTTAATCTTGTTATTGAACATAATAACCTTTAAACTTTTCAATATAAAAATGTAATATTCTTTTCTACTTGGACGTGATTTTCAATCCAACACAATTAAGTCTTACGTGTTGACTTCTATTGTGCTTAATGGGCCATTTCAGCCTGCTTTATTTCTGGATTTGCTTTCATAGACTTTGTCCATTCAAGAACAAACTACAATGCACAGTTGTTTGATTTTGGAGTTGTCTCTCATAGATTAGCTGCTGTCCCCAGCTAACGAGCCTCATCTGCCCGAGGTTCGAACTTCGGAGTTTTCAATCTAGCAACAATGAGCTTTACCGACCCGACCACTGTATCTATTAATAAACAATTTTGAAATCTTGCAGCGTATTCGAAAGCGAATGTATATGGAAAGCTTAAACATAATAAATGTATGAGAAATCGGCCAAAATTTAGTTTCAGTCACGATCAAAATGGCAGATATTGTTAACTTCTTAAAAGTGTACTTAGCAAAAACTTCCACCACTTTGTAAAATAATTAAACAATTAGAAATATCTAAAAAATTTTTAGAATCACTTCTATGTTTTCGAGCTAGCTCAAAATACCGTCAAGGGGTCACAGATTATATATAAAACATTTCAAATATAATATAATATATAGTGTGTAGTATAAAACACACCATTGAAACAATAATGTTGTAGGCCTGCATATCGTAACCTAATATAGTTCGGCGACACGGACATTGATTTTCTAGTTAATTTCCGGAGAAACGACACTAATGTGATCGTTGCAACACGGTAGTGTTGGCAGATATTGGTTAAGAAGGAACACATTCAATTATTTTATCTTGTGCTTACTAGATAAGGATAAACTGATTCTAAAATCCTGTTATCGTGTGCTTACCAGGTTAGAATTAAGTGACTATTGAATTCTTTAATCTTGTGCTTACCAAGTTAGGATTAAGTGACTCTAGAATTCCATAATCTTATGCTTACCAGGCTAGGATTAAAAGACTCTGGAATTCTTTAATCCTTTGCTTACCAGGTTAGGATTGAATTCTTCAGTATGAAGTGGTATACGTACCTGGCGATATGTGTCGCCATCTATGCGGCCTATTACATGTACCAGTATCAAGGGAAGTCACCCTACGTGCTAGCCAGACAGCTACTACAGACAAGCTTGGGTAGGTTAACATTTGCTTGTTCAGGGAGAGTCATGGGCATCCCTATAGCATGATGGTAGAAAGTGAACATCTTTAGTCGTATTGCTAGTCTAAGATACATTGGTGAATACTAAAGATTATACACGGACACACCCACCTACCGACCCACTCACACATACATGCATGTGAGTATGTAAGTGTTTGAGTGTGAGTGTGTACACGTACAATGTAAACACAATTTAAAATCCCTTTTTAGATCTATCGATCCATCGGTAAGATGAAGTAGAGTTCATAAGTTTCTTGACTTCGGCATATGAAGAGAAGGTGTGGTCAGCACAATGCCCAGTCGCCTTTGCTTCCCTAACATGTAAGTTACCCATCTGAGCTGGGTGGACTCATGGACGTTCTACTGACTTGAACCCGGATTCAAACTCGAAACTTTCGAGTTAGCAGTCTAGCGCTCTACCGCACCATGCTGTCCCATAAAAATACAATGCGCGAGTATTGTTTTCCTTCATTTTCTAAACTTTACGCAGAAGACGGATCCATCTAGCATACCGTAATTCCTTTTCATTACTATGTGAATTGTCAGCTTTGATTTCTCCAGCCTTAAATTTAAAAATAAATTCATGAGAATAATTTTATGAGAAGTGCACTCATTCTATATGGCCGACTACGTAAAACATAATATGTTAATGTTGATTACACCTGTAATCAGTGTGATTTCTGTCCAGGTTGTAACTACCCCAGATGTCTGAAAGACTTTGACGAGGTGGAGTTTGACATCAATGTAAACAACGAGGAACAGGTTTGTCTGTAAGAGAGTTTCGTATTAGTTTGATTTAGGAACACATTGCAGGCACATTTCAGCACATTCCATTTTCAGCTGCGATGGAAAGCGCAGTTAATACTTAGGACCGGAGTAAGATTTTGATAAGGTCCAGAGCTAATTTCCATATATAATTTTCCATATAGTGTATGCCAGAGTAAAATATTTGAAAAGAGGTCTGTCGGAAAAAAAGTATATATATATATATATATATATAAATATATATATATATAAATATATATATATATATATATATATATATATATATATATATATATATATATATATATATATATATATACCGTCTTTTACCAATAGACAATAGAACACAGCTATACTCTATTTCCTAATGTCAACACACGCTAGCGTTATTTGGTACTGTCTCAAATTCGGCCAAGCGTGTCGAACAGCGTGCCAACTTTTTAAAGGCAAACAATACCAACAGGTATCAGGTACAAAGTCCACAAGTCAAATAGAATATAATGTACAGAATTAAAATCAGGGTAACCGTATAAACTTGATTATTTTCACAACGTCATGTACCTGGTTATATAGGTGCGTCAATCCAGCCATATTATTCCTTCCGAGCAAGAAAAATGTAGCATTAATTAATATTGAAAAGATTGTCATGTTGATTAAAACCTCAATAACTGCAGTAATGCTTGAGTTTAATAATAGAATCCTTAAAATTCAGCAATTGTTTATAGGTGAAATTATACTGTAGTTTACGACATGAAACTGAGAACCAAGCAGACATTATTATTTCATCGTATTTACTAGCAAAATAACAATTTTAACAATTTTAATAATTATGTCCCTTACTACTTTTAGTAGCTCCAAGATTTGTGTTACCTATACAGAGAGAGAGAGAGAGAAAGAGAGAGAGAGAGAAAGCGAGAGAGAGAGAGAGAGAGAGAGAGAGAGAGAGCGAAGAGAGAGCGAGAGAGAGAGAGAGACAGAGAACAGCGAGATAGAGATAGTTACATGCGTTTTAAGGTGTCTAAAACAATTGAGATACATCTTTGTTTTAATTTATCATTTAAAACAAACAAAAACCGAGTCACGATTTGTAACATAGTTTTTCTTTTAAAACTATGTACAACTAAATAATTGAAATATTGTAACAAGACATTCCATACAACATAGTTTATTGAAAAAGTGATATGTCCTAAATACATTCATTGATATATAAACAGATGAGTCAATTAGAAACTAGATAGAAAACGAGTATTTTGTAAGTGTAATCTTCAATTTGTCGCAGGTTCTTGAACATTAGTATGCTATGCCCCTTTGGCAACCAGTTCTAGAATAATACATAATTACATATATTAATTTAAATAGTAAAAGTAATTAAAATTTCACAAATAATAGAAAATTGAAAATATTAATATACATAATAAGACATAGAAAGTTCACAAATAATTCAAAATTACAAATATTGATGTAAAAAGTAATACATCAAAAGTTTCTTTTAAAACATTTTTTTACCCAGACTCGTTACTGTGTTTCTGATGTGCATCAAGAAAAACTGTGTTTTAACAAGAAAAGAATTTGACCTTGAGATTAAAAGCTTAAAAACTTTGCTGAAAACTAAAAAAATTTACTGCGGTAATTACTTCCAACGTAGAATTAAACCAAGTTTTGTTTAATTGAGCCATACAAAAGTAATTGGATTTTTAAAAAGAAGTTAACATTTATAGTTTATGCTATCCTTGTTTTTATTTCTATAAAAGTTTGGTTATGAGAAATTTTTTTTTAAATAATATTTTTAAAATTTGTTTAGTTTTGATAAATTATTAAAACAAAATAACGAACGCTCTCATTTTTTCAAGAATTTAATTCACTTTTGTATTATAAAAAATCCTTTTTTTAGGTTTAATCAAATTTGAATGATTATTTTATGTTTCTTACGTTCAACTAACGTTTTTTAATAATGGAAACATTAATAAGGAACCCTCTTTATTAAAGAAAAGATCTAATTATCAATACAACGTTTAAGAAGCTGACAACAAGATAATCTTTACATTCATTCATTTCAGATTTTCATTTCGACCACTATAAATCTGGTAAGTTTGTCCTTTATATTATTTTTAAAAGAATTACATTTTGGAAAAAAAAAAAGCTTCTGAAGATTTTTAAGTGCGGGCTTTAGAATAGGGTTGGCTCCGGAACAAAAAAGAAAATAACACTTCTTAATTAATAAGCCTTTTTTTATTTATTTGTGTGTATCTAAGTAAGGGTTTTTAAAGGAAAATATCTCCATGCACCAGGGACTTCTGAAAATATGGTTGCCAGGACAATTAATCATAGATCCTTCTTTTAAAGGCTAGCTTTTATAATAAAAAACATTAGAAATATTTTTGTTTATCCACAAACTTTGTTTGGTGAAAAACCATTAAATATAGCATTATTTTTATGGCATTTAATCACATCCCATTTTAAAAATGTAGATATGTGTAATATGGGCTCCCATAACTGAACATATTTGATGATAAACCGGGAGTGATCTCCCTTAAACTTTCTCAAATATTCTAATATAACACTACGTGGGATGGGAACTCGGAATATAGATATGATTTTTGTTTACTTAAACTTAATAAACCGGGAGTGATTTACCCAAAACTTTCTCGAATATTCTTATATAACTTGGAATATAGACATGATTTTTAATTACTTAAACTTTTAAAAATAGAATAGAATCTCATAGAAAAAAGAATTGCGCACCAAGCGAACGCCAAAACAAAATGTGCATGATAGTGCGCAATATTATTAGTACTTTACAAATTTACATGCGTTTTTTTAGAAAAAGGAAATAGCGTAAATTAGTACTTCCGGTCAACGGAAAGTACTCAAAATTTGACAGAAGGTAGAGAATTAGATCTTTTACTTACATGTGAAATTTCATATACCTATCCTAAATAGTACTCAAATTATAGGCTTTTGAAAATTCAAATTAGAAAAAGTACCACTTCCGGTTATCGGAAATTGCTCAAAAGTTGATCAGGATCTACGATTTTTGATAAAATACCTATATATGAAATTTTATCAACCTAGCTGTAACGGTACTCAAGTTATCGTGTTTATATCATAACTATATCCCGAGTTCCCATCCCCTATTGATTAATATAAGAATATTTGAGAAAGTTAGGGGAGATCACTCCCGGTTTATTTTTTTCATAATCATCTAAAATTACGGTTTCAGAAATATCGGAAGAATTAGAGACCTTTACTTTGGCCTACAATGTTCAATGTGGGATCAGCTATATAACTTAAAGCCAGAAGCATTTCCTTTTTAAAACCGTCACGGCAATGGCAGACATCGGTATCCAAAGCAAGATATTTTTAGGGAGAATTCGACCCTTCTTCTGCTTCATCTTTTAAATTTTACATTACTTTATTCCCAGAGTGTTTGTTTTCCGAAAATGAATGCCGAAATACGCTTAAGAACGAATTTGTTAACAGCCCTCATTCAAAATGCAGGTAATGTTTAACTTTTGGTATATATATATATATATATATATATATATATATATATATATATATATATATATATATATAAATATATATATATATATATATATATATATATACGTATATATATAGTGGTTATCGGAAAATGGATTTAGTTTATAGTAAAATCTTCTACGAATAACGTAAGTAGCCCTCATTCATGAACATCTTTCTACAACTTTTATTACTTATTAGATACTCATTAAGTACATTTTAATATCGCTAGCTATAAGGCAAAAACAATATAACTAAACACATTATTTTTCTCTTTCCATAAAGCGAGTAAACTCCACGGTGCATTAACCTATAAAAAACATTAAACACATCGAAAAAACACGATACAGCTTCAATCATCTGGCGTTAGAAACACTTTTTAATTTTATGTAATATTAAATCGTATTTTTTATCGTTTCTAATATCGTCGAGGCTGTATTTCCAGACACGACCTTACGCTGTTGGAATGTGTTACCGATGGTTGCCCTATGTCGATTACAAGGCAGTTACAAATGTTTGATAGAAGGGAGAAGCATTTACGATCTCTCGGTGTTAAATGTGGTAAGAGTCCTAAGAGGCTTGCGGTATTGTACTCGTTTATTGATATATAAATATGTATATATATATATATATATATATATATATATATATATATATATATATATATATATATATATATATGTATATATATATATATATATATAAATATATATATATATATATATATATATATATATATATATATACGGCAGTTTATTTAAAACGATAATTTAAAATAAAAAATGGATAAATGCCTACGGTGTATATTTTTAAACTATATTCATAATGACGATAGCCATTTATCTATCATAAATACACTAGCTAATATCTTAACACTATTATTTAATTTTCAGATTTCGATAAAATGAAATATAAATATTTGAAAGGTAGATATTATTTTAAATAAAATAGAACTTAGATTATCTTTTTTTTTTTTTACTTTTGTTGTGTTTAAAAAATACAAAATATAATGTTAACTTGAACGCAATGTTTTATAATCAGTGTTTTGAAATGCTAGAAAAGCATATTTAAAATCTTTTGTTAGAACCCAAGTGTTCCAATCCCAACATGTTTGCGTGTAAAAACAAGGCGTGCGTTCATAAAAGTTTTAGATGTAATTCAGTTAACGACTGTGGCGACAACAGCGATGAATACGATTGTTGTGAGTAAAACTATTTTCTTTTCTTTTGTTGCTGGTAATAATAACACAAGCCTTTAGTTTTGACCTAGATAGACAGTCCGGTAGTCGAGTATTATTTAATTAAATATTTTTTTTACAACATAATCATCAAATCAACCTTTTTTGTTTTAATAACTGTTATTATATAGTAAAGTTAATATTTTGAAATCAATAAAGATAAAAAAAATTTCAAAAATAAATTATGAACTCTATTATTTGTTAATCTTCATTTATTTAAAATGTCACAATGAATTTCATTTTCTATATTTAGCTTTTTATACTGTCCCAAGTTTTTCATTAAAGGGCAAGAAACGCCAGTAACAAGTAATTTTTATGTATTAATTATAATCATTAAACGTATCCTATAATTCGATTCTCGTTCAATTTTATGTTTGCTGGTCGTACTTTAAGAACGTTATAATAATACAATTTGTTTTCAAATTTAATAAGAAAGAGAACATATTTTAAATACATTTGTATGTTATTTAAATTAATTAATAAATATTAATTATAATATAATAAAAATATCACAAATATAAATTATTCCTTGAAAATGCTTCTAAAATAATATTGTTACTTTCGTTTCAGATAAATTTCAAATGAGAACAATATGGAAATCAATTTGTATTTAATTGTAATTAATCAATCATGTTTTCTTTGTGGACATAAATATAATAATGATGTATATCAGACGCCCTTTGGTGTATTATCTATGAGATGCAAACTTTGGTTAGCTATTAATGATGAACACATTTTTTAGCCGTTTACATCCAAAAAAGTACACATTTAGGATAATTCAAATTACTTCTTTTGACACAGCGCTTGCAGTTTTAAACTTGGCATTTAACTTTTAAAAGCAGGAAATAAATACTTTAATTTACAAGGTCCTTTCTTAACATTAAAATGTATGTGTGCATTGCACCTAACTGGCGCTGATAGGGGACAACAGTCTTGGGTATTTTAGCGTAATTAACATAATTCATTCTCTTATATAAATCATCAAATCAGTTTCGCACTACTTTATTAGAATACATAAATATATTTAATGCAAATAAAATTTGTTGTGTTTGCTGGTTGACTTTTCATGATTGAACTAAAAAAGTTACAAATACATAATATCTTTGGAATTTTTTTTTTTTTTTATTGCTAAAATAATTTTGCCATAATATGGTACAGATGGTTTAAATAAAATCAAATTTATTATATATTTTTTAAACTCCGACAAGCAACACATATAAACAGAATATAATATTATGAGATAAATATACAAAATTTAAAAAAGATTTTCGAAATTAAAAACGAATATGGAACCAAAACGTGAGTATTTACACCTTAGTACACGTTTACAATAGTTGGGATATAAATATCTCTCAATTACATCACTATTTTTATTAAATGACATATTTTATTATAACTCATCGCCACAAAAACTGTTTACATTTTATTTAACACATATATAACATTGTGAAATAATAAAACACGACGAAAGATTAGTTTTACTTTTTAAAAAAACCATTTGCTAAATGTTTTATTTTTTGAAAATATAAACGCTGTCGAAAATTAAACGCGGTCATTTCTAATACTAGAAACAAATTTAATTGAGCCGATATCAAAAGAGAAAGTAAAATATGGAAATATTAAATTCTTTTACTTGAATATATTCTGTATTTTCGGTAACTACAACTTGGTCCTCTTCGCTCCTTATTATTTTAGACATTAATTCAATCAATCAATGCCAACGTTAGTAGAACAAACACAATGTTTGTCAATAGTGCTGTCATGAGATCAATACCCCAGCATGTGTTGGCAATCAAACACTTTGACTGAAGCAGTTTGTCAATGTCTTGAGTCTCAGCTTTCAGGTTATGTTCAGATCTAGGCATGCACAGTTTTCTACCTTTGGGCGTTTGCTCCACCATGATACACACTGTTACAGTCGTGTTGAAAACAAAAATCACGTTCAGTTGGTTCTGTCGTGATACCACCGCCGCTTTATTTTCAAACATGTTCCTTTCTGTTAACACATCAACATAGTTTGATGCTTCCGTGTTTATATTTTCTCTAGAGCTGTTTTTGCATTTCTGAATAACGGCCGAAATAGATACTAACTTTGTCTTAAGCTTTTTGTTTATTTCCGGTGCAGTTTTCGCAGATTCATAGTTAATCTCATTCTTTATTGAATAAACTTGTATTAGCTCTAGAACTATACTTTCTTTTGATTCCTCATTAAAAATATACTGTTTTTCTAAAAACTTTAAAATCAAAGAGCTCATTGAACAGACAGATCAAAACATCAGAAACATTTAGCTGTCCAAACTCAGACGCCATGAACCCTCCAGTTGTATCAGCTATCCCTATAACCCAAAAACGATGGCATTTATTGTCCAAACTTTGAAAGAATTCAGACGCGCACTTCTGGATTTCGCATGAGCTGTCTTGAATATCGAATAAACTGGTCACGGTTTTAAAGTCGTCAAAGTCACAGACCGCCTCCTGCCAGTGCTGGTTGAGCGCGACTGTTTTAGTGGTCAGCTGTACCGAATGGTTTGTGTTCATGTGGAACAAAATTTTAAACTTGGCCGTGTGGTATCTAAATCCAGCCTGTGTAAAGTCTCCATAACCTTCGTTACAAACTGCACAATAGCGATTACGGTATCCAATAATTTCATTATATTCGTTATAAATAAAGATATATGAAATAAAATCGCTACACATTTTGACGAAATGATTATAATCTTGCAAAGGCAATGATACGTAAGTCTGGTTATGACACGAATCGATCACATCATTTGAGCAAAACGTCGCGTGAAATAACTGATAAGGAGGTACGTAAGATATAAAATTCATGGGATGGCTTTGTTGTTTCCACATGGAAAAGTTCCAAGCATCATCTCCAATAAACGGTTGCCAAAAAGTAAAATTAGAGCCGTTTTTATTGTTACAATCGTAGATTATCTTGTTGGTAAAAACGATGCCTGTGTCTGTATTTGTCATTGGTTTGTTGTTAATAAAACTGAGCACATTTTCGTAGGTAAACAAAGAAAATTTGTTTTCATCGTTTAATGGAATTGCCTGGTTACCGTTTAAGTGAGTTTGAGTTGCTGATGTGTTCGGGCAAGATGCGACCATGGCCACGTTGTAACTCGTACACAAGAGCTCCAGGTGAAGCAGGTCTTTGAATTTTTCGATTCCTTCTTTGTAAACATTCGGACAATCCGTCTGGAAATCTTCGCAGCAGGTCTTGTATACAACACAGCGGCTATCGCATGAGCAGTATTTAAACCAGTGTTTCCCACAACTGTCTTTACAACTGGTTTTCATATCTTCGAAGGTGAATCCAAGAATTGGATAAACCACAATAAACATTAGGATGTAAAGGATCAGTTTCATGTGATGAATTAGACCCATATTTGCAACACGCAGTTGAATAATTTGCATCCAAGTTTTAATATTCGGATTCCCATACTTTATATAGAACTTCAGACAATGTAAAGTATTCTCTTTGGACCTAGCGATCCATTGGGCAGATGAAGTAGAGACAATGTGATGAAACAGAAACTCGATACATCTAAACAAAAGCTTAACTCCTTGAATTATTTAGTCCACTGTAATAAAAATACATAATATTTTAATATTTGTTTATATACTTTTTAATAGCTTCATTTTATACTTTCGTTATGAGAAAAAAGATTTATAAAATAACAAGTGCGAATATTGCTAGTTTTGAGCGAAGGGTTATCCATGTAATGTATTCTTATGACGATTTAAAAATCTCTGAATACAAGATATATACATCATGATCTGTTTATATTCGGACGTTTAAAAGACAACTATTACAATGTCTAAGCCTCACATCACATAAATTCAGTGCTGATGTTCTTAAGACGATGTAATGCTAGTGTTAATAAGCCAATTCCTAATTATTATTAACACTTGGAAAGCATTGCATGCTTACTCTTTCTTAACACTATTTATAAACGCGCTATTTTCACATCTTGCAGATGAATGAAAACAGAAAGGGAATTAAGAGAATTATTACATTAGAAATAAAATAAATTTTTGTTTCATCTTTGTTTAAATACACACTATTAGTAGCTATCAATATTTTTCGTATTTATAAATATACGAGCCGACCCGCGGCGTGAAGCCGCTATTTAGTTGTTTTATTTTCTACTTTTCAGTTATTCATAATTTGTGAATTCAACAGTACCAATGCTGCCACTGAAAATATTTGCTTTAAAACACTAACAGATGATCGTTAAGGACGATACCCCCTCCTTTCCCCCAACCCCTACCATTTAGCGTGAACCACAGCTCACCAGACTTCCTAGAACAGGAAGAAAGGGGACTGCAAGGCGCGATTAAACGGTTGTTTTCTAACGTCTCCAAGAAGAGTTTTATATATATATATAGATTGTAAATGACTTAGCAGTATTGTTTGTTTATTCGCCAAACAGTAAATACAAGAACATATACTAAAAATCTCGTTTTAATACATTTTTAATATAAGCTTGTTGCGATATGAAAAAAACCTCTATTCTAATGTAGCAGATCAAATATTTTTTTATTGATTACTATAGCACAATGAAATGATGTTATAGGCTAAATAACAAAGTAACTTTATACTGCTGTTTGTGGCACGGCGAAATACGGCAAGGATGCTGACAGGTATCAAAAGAAAATAGAAAATAAGCTTAACATTACAAACACTATTTAAAGTGCTTAGCATTTTGAAATGTTTATTTTTAATTTTTTTAAAAATTTATTTACAATGCAAAATAGATGTTTTCGAAAAGGTTGACTGAGACATATGAGGAATATTTTATAGTAGGATATACACCTATAATAAGTGCAGGTATGCTCTGGTGATAACGATTCACATGAAAAAAATTCAACAGTTTAATATTTTAATCTTAATTTTAATTTTAATACCTATAAGTCTTCCCACGCTTTTGACATTAAAACTAATAAATTAGTTTTATATTCCCAAAGACGAAGTGTTTTAAGGTAGCTTCCATGCTTGATGTTCAAAATTTTAATGAATAAATAGAAAGATGGGTTTTGATTTGGTATTACATTCAAATACGAATTCGATTACAAGCTTTTATTTGAATACGTAAAGTAAACTTATAACTATTAGTCTTCCCACGCTTTTGATATTAAAATTAATAAATTAGTTTTATATGACTAATTTTATATTCCCAAAGATGAAGTGTTTAAAGGTAGCTTCCATGCTTGATGTTCAAAATTTTAATGAATAAATAGAAAGATGGGTTTTGATTTGGTATCACATTCAAATAAGAATTAGATTGCAAGCTTTTGTTTGAATACGTAAAGTAAACATAATAATTTTAATAACTTATAAAATATTAATTTTTAACAAAGTTAAAAATCTATAATATTATGCTTTGCAAGTTAAGTGTTGAGTTTTCCTCTATCTTTATTGTCGCTTTTAGACACCATCCATTCTATAAATGTGTTTGTCTATTCGCGATAGGTGTTATTAGAATAGTGAAACTTCTGGTAAATTAGATCTTCGAGGGAATAGAAATCTAGAAGAATAAACTAAAAAAAACTGTCGTTTAAAAATATTGTTAGCTTGCAGATGAATTCAATAATATGTAATTAATCATTCTCATTTTCGTGCTTTCTGATTCGTATTTCATTATTATTGTTATTTTTTTATTTACTGGCATTTGGATCTAGTCATAAAATTGGGTTTGTTTAGCTTAATAAAATTGATAGAAAATAGTGACATCATCATGTTTGCGTCTCTGTGAAAACTATGTCGCTAAATGTTTAAAAATTTAAAATTATTAAATTCAATATAATAAAATGTGCAAACTTATATTTTAGATGTTTATTTTTAACGCCGTACGTTGTGCATTATACTCGATATTTTGTCATGTAAAACTTGTATTTATTTACACAACTAAGTTAAGCGTTTTTACTAAAAAAAA